AATGTGTTTATATGGTTCCTATCCTTTTCTATTCTAAACAATTCAAGAAGAAGAAGTAAAGGTTGAGCTAAGAATCAGAAGAACTTTAACTGCTACATTGTCTTCAGCTTGTAGTATTTTGATTTTGAAGAATGACGAAAGAAGTCCTCTAACTAAGCTTTGCGCTATACTCTTTTATACCCTTCAGTGACGACAAAGAATCGGTGAAGAAAACGGAACGAAACATAGGAAGGATTGAAAACAGAATTGTAAGAAATGCACACATTCCAAGCTCGAAATGCAGAATTACCAACACTTTAAAATCCAATAAAAAAATTATCCGAGATTTCGGTTGAGAAGAACAGTTCACAAGTTATTTCGACCGTCCAATCTTTAATTTTAGCCAGAATGGAGATGAAGAGGTTTCACCGATGAAGAGGAGATTCGGAAATATAACAATACGATCCAACAGAGTCCGACCAAACCGGCAGCTTATTCTCGTTTCTTTCTATATAGTGCCCGATGTTCAATACACACGTTACTCTTTCTCGCTCCTATTCGTAATAGATATACTATGAATAGTAAATATCATGTCAATAATAATGATAATAATAATGATAATAATGATAATAATAATAATAATAATAATAATAATAATAATAATAATAATGATAATAGTAATGCTGATAAATATGATGACGTTAATAAAATATCGAATATAAAATACTCTTTACTATATTATTCGCATATATTAAGATTCTCGATTTTAGCAATCGTTTTTTAGTGAATTATTTTTTCTTTTGCTCTTTTCTCTGTCTCTCTCCCTTTGCCCCCTCGCTCGTCGCCTCGCCAGGGGATTTCGAAAGAATACTAAGCACAACATTCAATATATATATGTACATACATATACACATGTATATAATATATACTTATATATATGTATATGTATTCATATATATATATGTAATATAATCTATAATATATAAATATATGTATAGTATATATATTCGTAATCATAATAATGCGACAACTATGATAATGCGTTTATACGTTCACATGCAATCTCAGCGTTATATGTGATCGCTGAAAAATATCTTTCTGAAGAATCTCGGTAGTACTTCTCCCTTTTCCTTTTTTTAAATTTCACACCCTTCACATTTCCATCCTCCCGTGATTCCATACTACTAATTTTTCTTCTTCCGTCTTTTGTCGCTTGTCTTTTCGGTTACGTCAGTCAAAAATATTACGGGGCTGAGCTTCATGCATTTATTTTATATTATTTTCCGTCGTTGCAGTTTCGGTTCTCTCGTTTCACATGCAACCCAATCGGACTTCTTTTCTCTTTACCGCTCGCTTTGACGAGGAACGAACCCCGAGATGATGTGGATACTGCTTCGACGTTACACGACAGTGGTATTTAATATTTAATATTTAATATTAATATGAATATATAATAATGTACATTTATATTTATATAATATATAGAGAGATTTTTTTACTTTGAAATACTGATTTTCTAGTTTGAAGAGTGGTTGCCTCATTCGGATCGCGTCGTATTTTCGTCTACGAGGATTCTTTTCTGTTTCGCACAGATTCGCAAGCACACGCACATCCCTATTGCCTAAGAAAATGGTCCTCCTCCCTAATCGACGAAGAGGACCATGTTCATTTATTGTTCGCGTCTGCCTTAAACAGAGTGCGCTTACTTGTCTTTACGCGAATGCGTTCGCGTCTATATTCTTCTTAAACGTAATAATAATAGTCTATTGTATTTCTACAAAACAAGAGATTCATCCTTAAGGAATCGGTGATTAAAAAGTTAATAGGAAGGTAGATGACGTGGGGAAAAAAAAAACTAACGTAAGCGAAATCGAGGAATCGTATAGGAACACAAACAAGATAAAAACAAAGTCAGAAGGAACGAGGATCGACCCATCAACGAATTTTTGAAAAATTCTTCACCTCTCCTCTCTGTGATCGCGATTTTCGATTCACCGTTGAGGCTATAATACTGGCACTATCCCTCTCAATAGACGTTGCATCGAATCTATTTACGCATGTCGATTATTAATTTGTCGTTCTCTTCTCTTAATTGACAAGCAGTCACAAATAGTTCATTTATGGTTCTTTAGCAAAGTTTCCAATTAATTCGACAGTGGATACATTCATGCAACCAACTGTCTTCTTTCCATACATACATACTTCTTTGACAAAACTTCCAAGTTCTTCCCATTAATGTCTTAAACCAAATATTGCATGAAGTTCTGTTAAAAGTATCTCGTTTGTTTTTCAATAACAAGCATCTTTTTTAATAATAGTAAAACCAATCACGTTTCAATTAGCACATCGTCCTTATGATATGATCGTGTCTCATTATTATTTTTCATTATTGTTTTTGAGAATCGATTAGAGGACGATATAGACCTGTACTTTTTTCTTCTCATACAAAATATAAAACGATTCGTAGAAACGCATGGAAACGGATTCGATGGAAACGTAAAACTGAACTTAATAATCTCGTGTGATCACTACGCTACACCAGAATTCGATGGGTCGAACAGTGTTACGAGAACTGATGCTAGCACAGCTTAACGCTGTTCGTTTTTATACAGCAATTAAGTAATCGTGTAAGTAATTGTACGGTAGCACAGTTCGAGGGTACCGATCGGTTCAAGTCTTAAGAATTAATATACAATGAGCTGCACAACCCCCGAACGCGCCCCCTATTCATTTATTCCTCTCCCCTCTCGCGATATACGAACGCGTGCTTCACAATATTTATAATAATAGTATATAATATGTATATAATATATATAGATATATATTAGATATATTCGAACGATCTCACTCATATCCAATCACTATCCATTGTCAATCGACAGCTTGCAAAGAGCGCGAAAAGTAGTGCGAAAGGAAAACAATACTCGAAAGAAATGCCGCGACGAAGTTTTGAGTTTTAAATAAAAAGAGAAGTTTGAAAATAGAAAGTAAATATTACGAGAACATCAAATCTTCGTCAATTGCGAATAATTAATAAATCGATTTGAAGTAACTAGTACTTAGTCGAATAATAATTTAAACAGCACGTATCAATCGAGCTACAAAACAAAGTATAAAACTGTCGAACTAATTTAATGAGCCTAAGCACAGAAGTAGATGCGAAATATATATTATATGTAGACCAATAATTACAATAATAATGATAATATAATTTATAATAATAATATTCAAATATAGCTATCCAATAGAATATAATCATATACTAATAGAGACAAATTAAGCAACAACGATCATCTATTTTTCTATCTCTCTTTTGAGTTACAATATATATATATATTTATATATATAATACATATATTCATCTATATAATATACGTTTCGATATACCTATTAATTAATTTATCAATCTGCGTTAATCCGATTTCAATTATCCTCGTTTTCTTTTTCGCTTAAACTCCGCTCGCTAAGATACACTCTTCTTACTTCATCCGTTTACTAAATTTCTATTAATCTCCCTTAACGTTTAATTATTATTCTTTGAGATATGTATCGGTCGTGTGGGCGTACGTGTCCTCTTGCTTAATATTCGCGCGCCGTTTTCACCTTCTTCAGTATCTTTTTTTCTTTAATCATCGCTTTTGCAATCCGATTGCCTTCGTTTCTATTCTTAGAACAAAACAACCACACTAGATCCTTTCTGACTTTCGCGTTACGTTTTTCATTGTCCTTAGATCGTCTTCGTTACCATCACTATCATCATCTCTTTCCACTCGTCGTATCGTTCCTCGAAACCGAAATTCTTCACGACCAATCGCGTCCATCCGTGATTCGTGTGTGTATGTGTGTACGTGCGCGCATACATATTTATGTACGCGGATGTATGTGTATGTGTGTACGTGACGTGTATCCGCTCGTGGTATCAGTATTTTCGCGAAGTAAATTAGCGGATCCTTTTAAAACAGCTTCGCGTCTTGTTTCTCTCATCTTTGTATTCTTTTTTTTTATGTTTTTTTTTACGAAAATGGCAGTTATCGGTCACAGCCAATGGCTATATATCAATAATCATTACACGTTACGATTTAATACGATTACTTTATTAGTTAACCTTAGACGACGTCGTTTTGTTACTTCGTTATATGTTTAAAACGCGGTAAAATGCTTCTCCTACGTAGAACGCGCTATGAGTAATTATTATACAACTCTACCCTGCTTAAGGCGCCACGAGGTTACGCCAAAGTATCGATTCGCGTTTCTCTCACGGACCGAAGACAGCCTATCTGACGAAAATTTTTGTTAACACGCCATTCGAACCACTACTGAGAATCGACCTATAAATTTGATCGTTACATTCGAGAAGAAATGTCCAACTCCCGTTACCAATCCGTGAGAAAAATTGTCACAACATTACATGTGGGAACTGAGAGACTCTAGTCGTACGTTCTAATATTATAATTATGTTATAGTAACGGAATATGTTGGAATATGAGTTTACACTGGAAGTCTTCCGCGAAAGACGATCCACCGACAGGTACTTTTTTAACGTCCCCCGTGATCACCGTCATTTTGGTTTTAAACTATGTCAGACTGCTCGCGCTTTATGTATGACAAATTCTTCGTATGAAAGGAAGAACTCGTCGGGACGGTCGTAAAACATCGGCTACGAACGCTAGTAAGTGAATGAGAAGAACTACAATCAGACAGTCATGCACGTTCCGCGATAATTTGTTTGAACTCGCGGCTCGATTGGTCATTTTCGGGGAAAAAGAAAAATAAATGAAGCAAGATTAAAAGAGAAACTGTGTGAGGCGATTGGGCTTCGTTTATGAAAAGAAAAACGATTAATAAAAACAATTAAATTTTTCTATACGATTTTAATACACTTCACCACTTTTTGTTTAATTTCACGATAAAAAAATATGACTTCGGTATGTCGATATATAAAACAATGCAATATAGATTAATTAACAATACAATAATACGCTAGCTCTATGATATTTATAAAAATATATATGTATATATATAATATATATATATCTGTATATTATCTTTACATAATTTACTTATTTAATAATTCTCTCTCGAAAGCGCATAAACAATTAAGAAACGGAATAAAATAGAATATGTTCGAGTCGAAAGACAAACGGGGAAAAGAAAGATCACGTCACGCCGCAAGCATACGCAGTTGTATGTCTGACACGTCGTCGACTGCCTCCACTGAGAACGGTTGAACGCAATGTTAAGTGAAGAAGGAACTCATAGGTCAGACAGTGTCGGCGATTCGCATCTCGCAGAAAGGGGAATGCTTCCATAAGACAATATACTATTTTTTATCTCATCCGCATTTTCAAAATCAAGATTTTTCTCTCACTTATTGATCCGGAAATTAGACAATCTTCTCGTTGATGTGTATCGAAATTGCTTCGTGGGTGAGTCATGCGATTATTTAAAATGCCCGGATGAAAAATGAACATCTCCCTCGCTAACTAAACTAATCTTTTGATCCTACATCCCTAAAATGTCCACTTAATCCATTTCTATCTTTAGCGATACAAGCAAATGATTCTAAGCCTTTATCATTAAAGAAGACTAATAGCTGTTATGATGAGCAGAGAACGACTTTTAATTCACGTATGGCACTGCAAAGTCTCGTCTCCCTTCCACATTCTCGATATGATGGTGCACGATTAAAATTCGTCGCGAGATCACGATTATGAAGCGAAATGATGATGATAATTCTCAGAACGATCGTCACCCTGACTCGCGGATTCAGTCCAACGGTAGGATGAATCAGATTGTCGCAACCACTTTTTCCCAACTTCGAACTTAACTGATAAATCTAATCTAACCTAATCGATGAAGACTATCGAGAAATTCTATTTAACTATAAAGGTATTCTTTAAAAAAGTCGGGAAAAAGGTGATCACGACGATATTGTCGGTGGGAACAAGTGAGAAATTAAGATAATCAAGAATAGAACTGATGAACCCGCTTCCGGAAAATTGTGGATAATTATATTAACGGTTGCTGGCGTCTGCTAATTTTAAAGCGTTATGCTATTTTTACGACTTCCTGTCACGTCAAAAATCTTTCGAATCTTTTATTGCTCTGGTAGAAATTGTAGAAAACAAGTATGCGGTGAACGATCGTACAGAGATCTCTAGAGTTCCACTCGGTAAATATTCCACTCGTTAGCTGTTTCACAATAGAACGCGACCCACCCATGTATCACAAGTAGTTGATGAGTCGCATATTCATCGAATGGGACTGAATAATGATTACGATCATGAGGAACGATGACGCCGACTACGCCGCGATGTGTGTCGGAACCTCGGCCAAAGTGAAGGCTACCTGGCGCGTTCGATAGATCGTTTTAAGTGTTATCTTAAACAATTAGTTGTCCCAAAGTCTAGCGGAGGTTCTCGACATGTTTGGGCCCGTTTTATTCGTAGTTACTACCACGCGCAACGAAACTCGATATCCCGAATTCCTGTTATCGTTTTCCGGAATCACAGTTCCGTATCAAGGAATAGTTTTAAGTCAGAATCTTGTGCCTAACCAATGACCTGCCGTGACTCTTATTAAGGCTAAAATAAATAAAATATACATCCATTTCATTCAATTAAATTCATTAGAAAATATACAATTTATAGCATTTTTCGAAAAAATCTGACAGGCAATTGGTTAAGAGAAATTACGTTACGGTGAAAGCTTACTTAGTATTCGTCAAAAGAAGTATCCAGACTTTATAAAACATCCAGTAAAGATCTCAATTTTCAACTTGAGTGTTGAGAAATCTTAATCCAGACGTGATGACGCGTCGGGGGAAGGGAAGACTGCGTTGTAACGAACAATTTTCGTACGATTGAGGAAACTACCGCCGATTTCCTCGGCGCGTGAATCATTCGAGATGATCAGCAAACGAGCTGTTCCGGTGATTCGAGTTCTGTTACACGTAGTTAATCGATCATTGACACCTAAAAGGGTATCTCGGGACCCGAAAGAAGCCACGGCTACGGAAATTATCATCGATGGACTTGTATCAACGCTTCGTCCTATGACATACAATTTACATGTACACCGATCTGACGCAGATTTTCCTTTCACGCACATACAATACGCGGTCCGAGTTCCGGCAACCACTTTCTTATTATTTATTTTCTTGCCTTGCGTACTTCTCGATTGTTCACCTCTTACGTTAATACATCTCGCGAGAAACCATCAGTTTCCCCTTTGTTCATTTTCTTCTATCCTGCTTTCAAGCGAGACGGTTTTCGTCCGTCTATTTCTCGTTAATCGACGAGTCTCCCTATCCGTTTCGCGGGGAAAAAGAATATTTACGGCTCCTTCCGCGCGTTCTAAAAACGGTTTGCGAAAATCCTGCCGAAGAAGAAGCAAGAGAGAACGCAAGAAGCGCATAATAAACTCGCGACCGTATTTTCTTATTAGCATCAATGTTAATTCTTCTTTGTTTCTCGTCGCACGCGCACTTTCTCCGCGCCTCCGCCCACACACTGCCCCCGTTCCCGATCCCTCAAGCTGCGAAAATAAGATCAGACTTTATAGCAGCAAAGTTAAACGGCAGATTATCTGGGCATAATGATCTAGATTATCTTCGTGTACAAGCACGCCGGCCGTTTTTCTAACTCGTTTTCTCTTTCTTTTTTTTCCTTCATATTAATATTTTTCGCGGCGGCGTCCCCGTATATCGGAACGTAGATGCTAAAGAGAATACCTATAAATATAGTTTATATGTGTGTGTTTGTATATATATATATATATATAGAATATAATATAATAATATAATAATAATATATAATAATATATAATATATGTTTATATATCATCACTCTCTCACAATCTCTCGAATTTATACTTAACATAGAAAAAATATAGAATTTACACACTTTGCCTCGAACTTAAATATAATAAACTTTTCTCTCTCTTTCTCACTCTCCCTTTCTCGTACTTCGATTAGAATAGATACATATAGTAGCGTCCGTATACGTACATACATATACACATATATGTCTGCATATGCATATCCACATACATATATACATATACGACCTTTCCTTTATATTACTATATTTCGGTGTGTATATGCTGTCCGTGCGCGTGTACATGTCGGATTGCGTTCGCATGCGTGTCATTCGTTTGAGTGTGTATGTACATATGTACATGTAAACGTGAACATGAGCGTGTGTAGGTGTGATCAAGTCTGCGGTCGGATGAGTGATGTTTGGTGTTGCAACACAGGATAAATGTTATACATATTATACGAATATATGCGAAAGTCGAATGAACGTACAGTAGCTACAAAGAGTATGCGTGTCTACAAAAATCCTCCAACAAAAAGTTTCTAACCGTTATATTATGTACATATATTAAACAATACAAGACATTAACACATTTTAATTCAATTGATCAACATAGAGCAATGCTGAAGTAAATTTAATAAGAACGTGCAAATACTTTTTGCCGCTACTGCACATTACTGTTTATGCACGTGTACTTCCATTTAAGTCTGTTAATTCTGGGCTAATCGACATCTCATAAAGAGAACGAGTATTTTGACAAGAAGGAAGAATTTATCCTAAGTCTTTGCTTGTTTCGAACGAAGATAAACGAGAAGGTATAAGGATACGCGATTGGTTGATAGAGAAAACAATCGAAACGAAACACACGGCGAACGAGGACACCTGAAACGATTCAACAAAAAGGAAATATAAAAAATATAAAATACATAATAATAGTAATAATATTAATGAAAAAGTAAAGAACGAAAGGGTGGGAAGAGGGGTATAGTCTGGGCGAAGAAACTACCGAGACACCCCCTACACAGAGCTGCAACTCGAACGATCGATAAAAAATATCTTCTTCTATCGGGTTATCCGTCTGGAAGGACTGGATGACGCGTATTATATATATAATATATATACCTTTACATGTATAATATACGTTATTAATAATATAATATACCGCGACTTGTTCGAAGCTGCGACTTGAGCATATATCTTCGTTTAAAATGGCAACGATTGACAAGAAGTATTTTCGACGATAGAATCGAAGGAAATGAAAAACGAAAGACGACGGAAAAAAAGATCGCATTGGAAACTAGTTGTCATGCGAGTCACGAAAATAAGAAAAAAGCAGAAGAGGACAGAAGAAAACGAAGTCAGCATAAATATTGTATAAAAAAACGTAGAGATGAAAGAACGAGTTTTTATATCAACTTAACGCTTCTTCGTCCAAATAGAAAAAAAAGAACCCAATAGGGATGTATAACATTTCGGTGGAAAAAAGGGGATAATACAAAGAGAGATATAGGACAACTTAAAGACACGTACCGGCCACCCTCTCATTGTGAATCGAGGTATGAGTACTGTGGTTCTTTGACATCACGAGATTCGTCCACGAGGTCATCCACGAGGAAGGACGAAGGGGAAAAAAGGGATACGACGAAATGGCGAACGAAAAAGCGCGGTCGTCCTTCCTCTAAGGACGCAATCGTTTCCAGAGAGAGTCGCGGTAGAGTGACACGTATCGATAAATAGCGATTCGATCTATATATACGCGATATTATATTAATGATGCAGTTACAATGTAATTACGATTGTTCAAAGAAAAGCTAAATGCGTACACGGCTCGTCGATCTTTACTGTGAAAGATACATTGGTTTCTAGTTCTCTCTTTGAAAGAACGAATTATTACTCTCGAATTATTACTTAGGACTCGAATAATACACTTACAGAGTGTAAAAAGTCAGCCGCATCTCGTGGCCATCGACCGAACATATCTTTTCCTTCTTCCTTTTGTTCCGTTACTTCTTCCTGTTATTCCCGTCCTTTCAACTATACAGGGAGAAGCCAGTTCACGCAGTCCCGCGATTCACCGTTCGCCTTAAAACATTTTGTTTCCCTTTAAACGCCGTTTCTTTCCTGACCTTTTCTTCTCCTTTTTTTTTGTTTTTTTTTTGTTTATTTTTATTTTTTATAGAACTCTTAGTTAATCTTTTTCTTCCACGCAACGGCGTGCGCGTAAAGCCGTCCCCGACCACCCGTCGTCCCTACGACGAAACGCGCGAAAAATACAAAATCTAAATCTCCTCGATAAAATATCCCTCTTCTCACCGCTCGTCAGACTTTTTTCCTGACACCGTAAATATATATATATATATATATTTATGTTTGTTTATATATATAATATATATTATTAATATTATTATTATTTCAATTGCTATGTCACTTATATAAAGGTAAGGTGATACTCTAGCAGCGAGGGGATGCTGGGTGGAACGGGTACGCCGTTTAAAAAATTTTTTTCTTTAATAATACTATCTATATAAGTAGTTAGTGCGTACTGGATCGAGGGACACGTGACTAGTTACCCTATTCCATCTTGTTCGTCCTCAATTTCTTTCACCTTTTTTAATTTTTTTTTTAAATCCTTCGTACGACGATGTGCCTATGAGATTATGAAATCGGCTAATTGCCTTTTCATGTATGTGTATCTGTTCGTGTAAAGTGAGTGGTGAGTGTGAGTTACGTCAAAATGTGTGGGCTATATTTTCAGTAATCGCTTGGGGATTACGAGGCTCGCAAGTTCCGGAAGTCCCTAACGTCGATACATCCACCGATAGTTTAGTCTCTTTAGTGATAATATTCTGAAATGTGAATATTGAGTGTTGAACCAAACATTACATTTCGCTGCATTTACCGATCAGAAAAAATCGATAGGTTTTCTAATAAAGAAACTTCGGATTCATAACTATAAGAGGATGCACGATTTAACTTCATCACATTTTCACGCAATTTTTGCTCTTTCACGATCACGTGATTTACTATTTCTAAACGTTTAAAAACATTTTAAGTATCTTCATTGAGATTCATATCGTTAGTTTTGTAAGGAAAAAGGAAAACAGATAACTTGATGTTATAGAATGTAATCAGCTATTCGCACGCGGCCATCTTTGGTGTTAAGCTGACACGTGGTCGCGAAAGAGCTTAACGATCGAGAGAGCGAATGACCTCTACCGCAACTGCGTCTTCGAAGCGTTAGAAAGCTTTTCCGTATCGCAGAAATCGAAGGCAGTAATTTTCATTAAGTTTCAAAACGGACATTTATGGTGACGACTTTGTAAATAAAAATAGAGTTTGTTATGTTAATTATTGTATTGTTAGTTTATCAATATTCACAAGCACCTTCGTTATAGTATTCATAACATTTCAGGTGGAAATATGTAATAAAAATTACGACTTCGACTTCTCAGCTAATAATAAGCTGCGTACAATGAGAGAATGATTAAATATAAAATAATTTAAAAAACTCTAGCTTGGCGTACATGGATTGTCAAACATATATATCTAAATAGATTTTATTCAAAATACTCGTAACGAGAAATCAAATAACAAAATAGCACCCAACTAAGGTGTTGTAAATCAACTTGTATGTACAATTATAGAAAAACACGCCGTGAATGAGACTGTTAGTCAAAATTAAACGTTGCAATAATCAATAAGCAACGTGCTTAGATCTCGTGATTTAAAAGATTCAAGAATAGCATCTCGGCGCTACGAACTATCGATTGCTGCGCATCATAAACTTTTTCCAATAGTCCGAAGGCAATCCCATAAACGGCAAATCAAACGAAACGCTTCTCCCACAATACGCAACCGTCTATGAATTTCAAAAGCAACCCGTGTCCCTCAGATGCTCTCCGTCACGTTATTCGTCCTCCGTGGATAAATCAGATCGCGATTCTGCCACGAGTAACCCTGCGAGTTCGACGACGTTCAACTACGTTACGCGATTATAGGATGTATGAAAAGACGAGATGATAGTGAATATATACATATACAATATGAGCGAGTATGTGTTTTTGTCTGTTACTTCCTCACTCTCACTCTCTCACGTTCCATGTATTCTCGTAGAACTTAAAAGCTGACTTCGTTGTATCCGGTCGGCGGGAACGACGCGACAAGTTAGCGTTAATAATTATATTCATTTTATCGGGACATTCCCGGCGTGTGTTAGAAGATGGTTATAATTGGCAGCAGTGGAATTGAGAACATTGTGCGCGTCCGCTTCCCCGACGACGTGGCCGCGAGGAAATTGTTATCATTATTCCTATTCTTCTTCTTATTAATATTATTATGACGTGGTTTCCTACGGCCGGGACGATCGGGGTACACGAGCTTCATTTTTCTTCGTTTTATCGCGTACGGAAAGATTCGGGATGTGGTGGGCGTTGTCCGGCGCCGCCATTCCTGGTTGGGCCTAGAGTTCGAAATGTTTCTATGTGTTGTGAATCCGGGTGTGTATAGCCGCTATACCCAGGTGTTGCGACGCGAAAAGAGCCTTGGGACAGATGTCCGTCCTCGACGATTTAAGAGAAGATGCGTAGCACCTGCAGCACAGGCCTGTTGCAGATCGGGCAGCTGGGGTCGGAGCTCTCGCAGACCCGATTGCCGCAGTCCAAGCAGAAGTGATTGTGCCCGCAGGGTACTAGAGCGGCGGTGACTTCCTTGTCGCAGCACACCACGCATTCCCGTCGACCACCGCCGAGCAAAGAATCTGTCGGCGATGTAGGGCTTGCCGAAGCCGGCGGTGATGGTCTTGAAGGTAGCGCAACGCTCGGGAACGACCAAATCGAAGAAGCAGACGCCGCCTGGGAGTCAAACGATGGCGATTCACCCAGTCCCTCGTCCCTTTCCATGCCCGCGCCCCAAATGGCAACGAGATCGTTCAAGCCGGGCGCGCCGGAACTGCTGGACGAGCTACTGCAGCTCCCGCTGCTGGAAAATGCTCCGCTAGACCCGTTCGAGCCATTTGAACCGTTTGAGCCTGGTGGATCGAGGCAGCAGAGGATGGAACTTAATCCGCTGCGACTCAATACGTTGAACAATTCGGCTTCGTCGATAGTAGTTCCGGTTCCGGTTCTAAGAGCTATATGGGCCTCGATCTCACGTCTCGCGGCTTCAACGCTTTCTGGAAGTCCCGTGACTTCGAACACCGGCTCCTTGTCGCGACTGGGCGTCACTATGTAGGTGTGCGTCTGATGCTGGATTCTCTTGATAGTGGCGCCTTTCGGGCCTACCACGAGACCGACGACTCTGTACGGGACTCGTACCTGGATTGTTACGTGGCCGGGGACTGACGCCGGTGGTCCGGGTGGCGCGCCCAACAACGCACCCAACGAGCTTTTGCGCGATGCGCGTATCTGTGAAAAGTGTTCCGCCGCGGAGAGAATCTCGCGCTTTGCGCGTGCCACGTCCTCCTTGCGTCCGGTCACCACAAACACCGGTTCCTCGCCGCGGACCGGAGTCTTGATATAAGTGTTGGTCTTTGCCCGGAGTGCTTTGATTTTGCAACCTGAAATCAGAAAAATAATACGTCGTTAGACACGATGTTCTTGGGTGAACGCCAATGAAAGAATAAATTGACGATAGATCGCGTCAGTAAAACTATAAAGTTTTCTAAATCATTAATTTTAGGCTCGTTTTCACAAGTGAAACATATAAATAACGATTTTCATTGGAACGCAGAGTGCCCTTCTGTCATGATGCAATTGTCTGTACATGAACAACAAGACAGCGTGCGCGTAAAGATCCGTGTGCGGTACGAAAAAGGAGAAGTTGGAAGATCGGTGGGATGCCAAGGAGAAGGAAGAGCTACGACGGAGAGAAAGAGAGGGGATGGGGTGCAGGAAACTGGAAGGAAGGAGGTCCCGACCCGGTCTGATCCTCGGTCTCGCAGACTCCCTGGCCTTGAGCCGGCGCAATGCTAGCAATGCAGGTGAACCACTCCTCTACCTTTCCTTCTCTCGCACCCGCGAACCTCCTATACATACTCGTTCCCCGACGTTCTGTCCTCCTCCGTACCGCGGCTATCATTCGCGGATTCATCTATCTATCCCTTGCTGTCTTTCTCCAAGCTCCCTTTCATTCAGTTCACTCTCTCCTTCCTCGGCACAGCCAAGGAACACGCACGTTTCTCGCATACCACCGGCTTCTTCCTCTCTTACCGCTTTTGCAATTCCACGTTCATTAGAGAGCTTTTTAATTGATCGTATTTTATTGACTGTTCCCTCGCGATCGTAACCCACACCGAACGATCTCGGAGTCGGTGCGAGTAACGAATTATCTAAACTCAGTCACTGGTTTCGCAATTTATAAACAGACAAACTATGACTTCGTTTTTAAATTCTTAGAAGAGTTACGCATATACATAATTACATAACTATACATATGTATATATACATATATACGTAAATAAATAAATAAATAAATAATTTTGCTCGATCTACATGAAATTATTTTTAATACCAACCCAAAAATAAAATCAAAAACTTCCTATCTTTTCAATTAGTACTACAGTTCTTACGTTATGCTACCTACAATGTCACGGGCATCCATAGCTTTTCAGGGACAGTTGCTCTGGCGCAATCTTGACATCGATACGGCCTTTAACTGCACGCCATGCCGAGACGCGGAGCGAGGCGACGCGACGCAGTTAGAAGCGTTTTAACATGAGGGAAGGAAAAGGGACGATCCGCGAGACGCGAGGTCGTCTCCGGGGCGCGAACGTAATTGCGGCTATAACCATACGACGGGGTCTATACGCATTTGCATCCACGGAATTCCCATGAATTTCAGCTAGTTTTCCCACGGAAAAACAACGACCGCGTAGAGTGCGCTGTTACGTGGGTGTGACATCAATATCTTTCCAAAAAGAATTGGTTAAATTCATCAATTGAAACGATTTTTTGTCTTTCCTGTATATACATTTGATAATATCATTTCTTTTTAAGTAATTATTTTTGTAATTAGTTTTGTGTACAAATAAAGTTGCACACAGAAGATATATTTTAATTTTGCGGGGAATATTATGTATAAAGTGGAAATGTTTTGTAAAAAATTCATATTCTTATTTCGAATGTAAGTATTGTCATTATGTTTCGCTAACATTTGAATTCGATGTCAATAAAATGAGCAATCACGTGTACATGCAAGTTACATTGCGCTCGAAACAAATATTTCGTAACTCGCGTGTCCTCGAGTCAAACGGAGTAAATCCTGTTTCAGTTTAATCGATCAAGCTTTATTTTCGGAACCCATTGTACCCAACCTTCTCTCCCGTCCCGTTTATTCCTTACAGCCGGTTTACCTTCGGCAATTATATTCATTCAATGGTTACACACCTCGCCCGCACCCCTTCAACCCTTTCTCCATCGTTTTTGCAATGTCGAACTCGACGTACAAACATAAACTACATAAGATTTAAATCATTCGATATTCCACATTAATGTCTTGCTTATTTTCCTGCGGGTACTGCAATGTGCAAACCATATTGGGCAGTTTTGTAGTATAGAAATGTTGAAATCAAGAAAGAATACGTTCGTTTAACATATACCTTGAATATTTAAATTCAGAAATAAAAGCTATGTGCAATAAAATCATAGAATTGCTCAGGCTCCAGCACATGGTTTTGGTGCCAATTATTTTTGACACACGTCCTCGTTGACTGGACTAGTCCAGACGTATTCGTAGCGATAAAACGCTGCGAGGAAAAGTTGATCGTACTTCTAGCTGGAAAATTTTTAAGATGAGAGCGAGGTAGTCACGGATATACAAGGGTAACCATTATTATCCGTAATCTAAAGAAGCATAAATTTGCCCAAGGATACACCCGGCGAGATGCCTACGGCTGCTGCCGAGTAGACGAGCAGAGGAAAGACGTACAAATTGAGGGGGATAAAAATTAGGGGTCTGATTAGTCGGCGTCGTCGTGTCGAAAACGGTTTTTAAGATGCTATTCCAGCAAATTAGTGTTATTCTAATTAATTTTAAGTCTTCGAGGATATTTTTTTATATAAAATAAATTTAAAAGTAGACAACTAAATATTATTAGTACTAATTAATAAATAAAGATTATACAGAAATATTTAGCATCCAATTGATTTTTGTATCACTGTGAACATGCTTTATAAATTCACTTCGCAACATCCATTATACGATGTCGTATACGACGTGCATACGAATTCAGGAATGTCCAAATAAAGTTATCATTCAGGTTGGATTGATAACAACCGTAAATGTACATTGCATTATAAGATTCAACTAGGTAGAACTACTATTTTAATTATGTCTCAACATTAGAAGTTACTTTTATACTATCCGGACAGTTCGGCTTTCTGCAAAACTTCGAAAGGCAGATGACGTACATACAAGTTTAGTTCAAGTGAAAAGAGGCCGTTATCAAGGAAAAGAAATTACACGAAAACCTTTCAGATGATACTTGAAACGAAACTGAGGCGTCGTAGTTCCCTTTGATGTACCGTTCCTGCGTTAAATTTCTGTTTAGCCAGAATTCCGAAAATTCGCCTAGAGCGATTCGGGGTTTTAGGTTCGCTAAATAACTCTGATAAGACAGGTGAACGAAGATCGGCTCTAACGAGAGCAAAGAACAGGGAGGAAGGATATGAGAGGAGGATAGAGAGCCTAGCGAAGAAAGTGAACGGCGCGGTGATGAAGAGAAGGAGAAGATGCAGAAGGTTGCTCTCCTCGTGGTTGATGAAGGTGGCTGCTCACTTGATGGTGATACCGATGGTGTGTAGCGGGTAGTGGTGGTTCGGATGGAGGAAGAGAAGGTGGGGCGTGGGTCGCAGACAGTTGAAGGGCCGCGGCCAAGGTGAGGTGAAACGAAGATAAAGAGAGTGAAAGAGAGGAAGATAGTGTGCGACTCGAACGGCATCGCGGCAGAACGAACGTAGCGCGCGCTGTTTGCCTTTGTCTGGCTGCCTGTATCGAAGGGACCAAGGAACGAAAGGGAGGATCGACCGAGACTGGGACCTCGACCCGGTCCTTCGTCCTTTCTTCGAGTTCTTCGTCTCGTTTCTTTTCTTTTTTATTCCATCTCACGCGTACTCACCGCAAAATCGCAAATTATGGACGAAAAGGAAAGTAATAGGTCCGACAGAACCATTCGATTCGGCACATTCGAGTTCGATTGGGGATAAATTATACTCCTGATCCGACGTCGCGATCTCAAGATCAAATGATGTACATACTTAGTTCATCTCGCGAATATTGTTTTGGAAGCTACTACTTAGAGTGGAATGCAAAACTGAATATGGTCTTGTTTTTTTTTTTATCCATCCACGTAACCAATGCACGTGAACCACGTGGTTTTCTGCGCGCTGCCCGAGTAAACCAGTCAAAGCCCCTCTCCGGAGAGGATGTTTGAATCTCCTATTTCTCACGATACGTCACTCTCTCTCGAATGACGTTGCTGAAATCTGCAGCAATAGCAGCAGTGCTCTCTCCCTCTTCCTTGCTCTTTCTGTCTCACTCTGTAGAGGCCACAGGATCAATAGTTACGCGACTCTATAGCCGGCAGCTGCATTATACACACGGCTCAGAAACTGCATACATACATACTGCGGTCATAGTGCACCGCTCTCACGCACGTATCGAGCCTACATTATTATCGACAGATTCGCAATATCTACTGTGAAGTTCCCATTGCCTTGTTACTCAGATACGGCTACGATTCCCCAGCAGTCATTATCAAAAGTTGATCCGGATTGATCGACGTCAAGATTCACTTGAAACCGTTCAACAGTTCGAGACTTATCTCTATTCAAGTATTTCCACTTCACCCAAGTTCCTGCTAATTAAATCATCTACTGCTTATTCGATAGTACATCTGATATTAACATTCAGATCGTACGCCAAGTTTTACAAAATATTTCTCCAGATACGATGTCAAGTACACTGTCACTAGCACGTATCGAGCCTACATTATTATCGACAGATTCGCAATATCTACTGTGAAGTTCCCATTGCCTTGTTACTCAGATACGGCTACGATTCCCCAGCAGTCATTATCAAAAGTTGATCCGGATTGATCGACGTCAAGATTCACTTGAAACCGTTCAACAGTTCGAGACTTATCTCTATTCAAGTATTTCCACTTCACCCAAGTTCCTGCTAATTAAATCATCTACTGCTTATTCGATAGTACATCTGATATTAACATTCAGATCGTACGCCAAGTTTTACAAAATATTTCTCCAGATACGATGTCAAGTACACTGTCACTAATCAGAAAAGACCTCGACTTATCTACGTTCAAATATTTCTACTTCAGTTAATGAAATAATTGATTGTTTTTTAGACACTAGATCTTGAAAAAGAATAATAATCCTACGTAGAAGAAATACTAAAAATGTGCAGCTACTGGAACTTCTTGGAAGCACGAAAGTTATATTATGAAAAAATCGTCCAAGAGGGACAGGAACTCAGGGGCCATCTGCTCGTCTTTCATTTTAATTACAGGCACCAAATATGCCTCTCGCTAGTGAAGTACTC